TTAAGATTTTTAAGAATAATATTTGCAACAAAATTTGTAATAACATCAAAATCAGTCAAAGTCGCAGTTTTTGAGATAATTGAAACTAAAAGAACTGCCTACCAACTTTTTATTAACATATTTTAGTATGGGCGGCTATACGTGCCTCCCGGCGCCAATTTTTTATTTTTTATTGCATTTAATTTTCCGTATTCAAGGTTTTACCCCACGTCATTTTTAGTCGAAGGCTTACCAATATTGTAACGATGAATAGATTAAATATTAAAAAAAAACAGAGCCGGACTTGAAATTAGTTTAAAAAACGACAGGAAAAAATAAAATTAATTTTCAAAAAAATCTTTTTTTTCCAAACAACTCAACAATCCTTGAATTTTTTAAAACTTTTGACGACACTTGAATCTTCTCGTGTCCTTATTTGCTGGACTATTTAAAGAACGATATTTTTTGCGTTCCAACCAGAATTTTATTGTAATCGTTCATGAGCAGTATTCAGAACGGTGATTTCGATACCGCCTAAACGCAAGAATCAAAATAAACTCACCAGTGTATTAAGTCTGTGTGTCAGCTGATTATTGTTTTTCTATTATTTCTTTGGCTATTTTCTGGTTTTTAATTTGCTTATTCTTCAAGTTTTATTTGGTCTTTATCGTTTTTATACATTTATTTAAATAAATATCTATTATTCCCCCTTCTTCGTATCTCTTATGGTGTCCGAGATCGCAATGGTCACCCTTAAATTTGAGACACATTGTACAAGGAATTTAAAATCCAGGATCTTAAATAATCCTCAATTTTTCTTTAATTATTTAGGTTATGTACATTTTAGAGAAACAAATACAGATCGCTTTGGAGACCAGACCTATAGATTTCCAAAAACTTACCGACGCTTTGTCCAACATTTCATTTCAAATTGTTATTGAAAAGATACAGGTAATACGGTTTTATTCATGTATACGGGGCGTTTCTCAAAAGTTGCTCACCTCCGCTCACCTCCTATACTTTTTTTAATTTTTTCTAAAATTTATTAACTAAAAATTTCTATAACTTTTGATTTTTAAAGACACCCATGGTATTTTTTACATTATTTGATAGAAAATAACACTTTTGTGTGATGATAGGATAGAAAATTATATTATATGTTATCTAGAATGACATATCATACGTCAACTTTTGACATTTTTGCATATGGGTGATTTGAAATTGTAACTTGCGGTTCATAACGATAATTTGACTCGAAATATCAAGTGTGTGGTAACAACTTATTCGTAAAAAATGCTGTTTCCAAATATGCCGCCCTAGTTCCATTTGAAAAAATTGAGATATGATTAAAAATACGATTTGGGCATCTTTTAATAACGAAAAATATTAGACGATGAAATCTATATGTTCAAGTCTCCTTGATATAAAATTAGTGTTTTTAACACTGCCATGACTCTCTAGATTGAACGTCAAAAGTTGACATATGATATATCATTATATTCAGAGTGTCATTTTCTATCGAATAAACTATAAAAATGCCGAGGGTGTCATTTAAAAATCAAAAGTTGTAGTCATTTCCGGTGAAACAGAAAGTGACCGAAAACAATTGAATGACGTGAATCAATCCTAATTTATGTCATATACTAACTCACCAAATGACGTTTTTTTATCTGAAAAAATAAAATAGTTATAGGTGTGAGCTACTTTTGAGAAACACCCGTTATATGATGGAAAAAAATATATAATATAAACTATTATAATTATTATTATAAATGGTATATTTTTACAGAATGTAAAGGAAGCAAACTTAATACATATGATTGAATATCATCCGTGTATTAAAGAAATGAGACAAAAGTTTATAGTAGAAAATGAAGGTGTGGTATACCAACAACGGATTAACTGCCTTCTAGCTGGATTACATTTTCCAAAAGTTCAGGAAAAGGTAAAACCAAAAGCAAAAATAATAAAGACCAGAGTTTCCATTATTAAAAATAATTAAAAAAAATTAATATGTCGAAATAATTTTGATTACAAATATCTCGAGAACGATTAATCGTAGCGTGTTTTACCAAGAGACCTTTTTTACGTAAAGAACGTCGAAAATGTATATTTTATTACTCGGTAGTTTTATACAGGTACGGACGAAAAGTTATTACTCTTCAAAAAGTTAAAAAATATGTAGGTGACACCCTCTACAAGTAGGAGTCATATTGGAATCAAAATTAAATTTCTCATGTCAAAAATCTCCCAGACACCAATTTTCATCCAAATATTGACGTAACTTCAAAAATTATTTGGAAAAAATCGAAATAAAAATGAAATTTCTACATCCTGTATCTAAGCATTTTAGGACATACATTTATACGAACTTTTTTACTTATTTTTATCTGCAAAATATGCCGCTGAAGTTTCGGGAATACAGTTTGGACCACCCTGTATATGTCTGCAAAAAATAAATCTTTCTTTTTAGAAGGCGCATGGCAATATATTTGTACAGCTGTCAAAAAATATGAAGGATCTATTGGTATATGAAATGGAAAATGTAAAAAAGCCAGCCGTCTACGATTCGCCTAAAACTTTTCCTGTTTGATGCTCTTCGGCTGTAAACTCCCCTACCACTTTCCTCTTTACTCCGCTGTCCATAAACTATGGTAGTGGGGGCACTCACCGATAAAACGATGTAGGCACCTCGATTTTGTGAATTTATGAATGACTTGCTCTATCTATTTTAATTCTTAATCTAAGGAAAAAACTTATTAAAAAATGTAGTTTTATATAAAATTTCCTGCTAATTCATTTTCACCCTGTATATTAATAGTGTAATGTTTCTAGATGCGATCCAAAACTGGCTTTTTCCATCATAATCAATCACGCCGAAGTAGTTAAATTTATTGGTAAAGATGAAAAAATTGCCGCCTATTGGTCAGATGCCTTAATTCTGCTTTCAAAAAGTAATAGTAAACAATAGTTTTTAGGAATAATAATTAGTGATGGGAAAACCGACTAATTTCAATAATCGAGTACTCGAGTTCAATAATCGAGCGATCGCTCGAGCGAAATATCGCTCGTATTTAAAAATACGGTTTTTCGCCCGTCGCTCGTTGTACTCGTAATGCCAAGCAGTAAGTTGCGTGCGCAGAGCACATATTTTTTCGGTGATGAATGGCAAGTAGCAAGCGACGAGCGACGAGTAAGGCTTAGAACATAGCGGGGCGACGAGGATAGCGGCGAGCAAGCAGCGCGACATCGCGTCCAAAACAAACCTGTGAAGAAAAGTACGTGCGAACATAGTAAAGGCGATCTGCTCGAGCGTTTAGATCGAGCGGCAAGATCGATTTAAATAATTTTTTTTTCGTCGCTTTGTCGCACTATAGAAAATGATCAGAAAGACAGTATCACCATAACCAGTATATTTTAGATAAGTTATGATATGAAGTGGCAACAAATTTTCGTAAAGGTTATAAAACTTGCCATACTTTCTCGGGTTTTTAAAAACTTGATCTAACCAAATGTTTGCGACATTACTGCCTAGAATTTAAGCCACTGTTAACATTCTAAATTATCAATAAGCAAATGAAAATAATAAATTTGCACAAGTATCTCCCTATTCCTCGCCGCTCTACTATGTTTCAGCACCTCGAGGCTTGCCCGACGCGGTATCGCGCTGCTTGCTCGCCGCTATCCTCGTCGCTCCACTATGTTCTTAGCCTAATTCGCTTGATTTAGTTTATTTCAAAGCATTGTCGATGTAGGTCGTAAAATTTTGTCACTCAGATACGCAACGGATAACGTCGTATAAATTTGCTACCTGCAATATATGTAGAAAATTCGCTCGTCTTTTTATCGAGTATGTCACATTAAAATCGGATTTCATTTTATTTCATTTTAGGATCGCTTGCGTTCGTCGCGCGTAACTGGTCACTTGCATCGCTCGTTCATTGAGTCGCTTGCATTGCTCGTTCATAATCGAGTACTCGAACGAATTTTCGCTCGAGTGATCCCATCACTAATAATAATGTTGTTTGTTTACAAACCCCATATACGCGGTGAGTCAAAAATAAGTGCAAATATTTTTAGGGGTGGTATATTTCGACCCCAGAAACACTACTATGAGGGTTGTTTCGCGAAAAAAAATGACAAATTTGGAACTTTTTATAGTTAATAAACATAATTTCTTAATAATATGGCAACATAGGTAATAGATTAAATTTACAAGAAAGAAAATCCAGAAAAGATCAAAAAAAAATAATTGGTGGTGGAAAATTTCCAAAGTAAAATAACTCGGTTATTTTGGATTTATTTGAAAAACGGTAAAGAGAAAATATGTTTTATCGCGATATACTACCCAAAAATATTTTCACTTATTTAAGACTTGCCCTGTATAATAATGACATTAAGGATTTTTTTAACTATATCGATAATATTATATCTCCTTATCTCGGTTAATGGTGATCAATTAAGGTTCTGCTCACATTATAAACATGTATTAATAATACAGGGTGGCGCACCTCATTCGCCTCGGTTGGTTATACGAAAACGGAAAGATGTAGAAACAAAATATTTTATGGGTATATGTGGGGAGGCAATGTGCACAATTTAAAATTACTTTGAAATATACAGGGTGTCCCAGAACTAAGATTCATACCAAAGTTATATTTTTTCTTATGGACCACCCGGTATTTTATTTCATTTTTGGATTCTTGGGTCCAAAAAAGGCATTTATTATAAGGGTTAAATATGTCTAAAATCGTTGGTTTTTGAGATATTTAAAGATATTTAAATATGCATGCTACAAGAGAATTGATTATCAACACCCTGTACATTACTTTTCAGAATTAATTCTTGTGCTGAGTTTAAAGGTAAAGAAATAAACTTTACTGAAAAATGTTATTGTTTCCTTAAATTTATACAGGGGTACCAAAAATTAGTGATCTATTTTACGGATTTATTGTACATAAAAACTTTGTTATTTCAAATGCAACACCCTGTATTTTTTTAAATAAATTGAAGCAGATTCAAATGCTCTTTCTAGTGACAGTCAGTAACTATTTTCAAAATCGACATTAGTGTATGGACATTATTATTTAAACAGTTTACTAAAATTTACCCACAAGATTTTAATAAGTATTCTTTATTTTATGAAGAAAAATAAAGCCATATGTATCTGCTGGTGGAACGAATAGATATGCTACTAGTTACTAGTGATTTTGTTTTGCGAGGAAAATTATTTCTTGGCCTCAAGAGCTAATGCTCAAAGATATCCAAATAGGAATCTTTCTGATAAGATTTCCTTTGAAAAATTACTTGTCCTATTTCGCAGAATTGGTGTAGTTTATAAAAAACCTATTAGGCAGAAACCTGTCGTTGTAGGTCAATTAAATAAAAGTAAACTGGTATAGATTTAAATAAAGTCTATAAACTAATGTCGATTTTGAATATAGTTACTAACTGTCACTAGAAAATTGCCATGGCGATACCAGCCATCTTGATTGCATTTTATTTAAAAATCGCTTTTTATTTAAAACCTGAGATAGATAGGTATAGGAAACCCTAATATAGTTTGAAAGAGCATTTGAATCTGCTTCGATTTATTTAAAAAAATACAGGGTGTTGCATTTGAAATAACAAAGCTTTTATGTAAAATAAATCCTTAAAATAGATCACCCATTTTTCGTACCCCTGTATAAATTTAAGCAAGCAATAATATTTTTCAGTAAAGTTTATTTCTTTACCTTTAAACTCAGCACAAGAATTAATTCTGAAAAGTAATGTACAGGGTGCTAATAATCCATTCTTTTGTAGCATGCATATTTAAATATCTTTAAATATCTCAAAAACCAAAGATTTTAAACATATTTAACCCCTATAATAAATGCCTTTTTTTGGGCTTAAGAATCCAAAAATGAAATAAAATACCGGGTGTTCCATAAGAAAAAATATAACTTTGGTATGGATCTTAGTTCTGAGACACCCTATATATTTCAAAATAATTTTAAATTGTGCACATTGCCTCCCCACATATTTCCATAAAATATTTTGTTTCTACATCTTTCCGTTTTGCGTATAATCAACCGAGGCGAATGAGGTGCGCCACCCTGTATATCTACTATTACTTTTAGGAAATATGGCTCAACTTAGTAAATACTACCACAAGGAATTGAACAACCTTGTTATGATGGACGTTAGACTGGCTCTGATAGAACTCCAGAATATAACTATACCCAAACATCCGCCTAATGTACCACCCGTACCAACATTTTTGAAACCTCCACTCCCACCAAAACCAATGCTGCGAAAGCCTTCACTTTTATAGAGAATTTATGTATAAATTTTGTATATTACTATTAAAATATATTTTAACACGCAACAGTTAATGTTAATATTGCATCGTCTACCTTAACATAGGAAATCCCATGTAAATTTTAAAAATGATGAATGAGTTTTCTCCATATTGCAGAAAAATGTATGTCAAAAATATCTTAAGTTATGCTCTCATGCTTTGCTCTCATGACAATACTCTCATGACAAACATAGATAAAAGAAATACTTATATTTTGGAGCGTATACGTTGTAGAGCGCTGCTATAGCGGTTGCTAAGAACAACCGCCAAACAAGAACAGAAATAATTTTCTCTTGTCAAAGTCAGACTCTAATAATCTAAAAATCAGACTCTAATCTCTAAGTCAGACTCTAATCTCTAAAAATTATAAGACCTTCTAAAATTTAAACCACCCTTATTGAAAAAATACCGAAAAGTGTTTAAAGCGTCTATTTTCAAAGTAATTATTGCTATCTTGTGAGTTTAATTTAAATTTTATTTACTCAAACCCGTGATAATTGTGAAAAAGTGAACTGCAAAAACCATCGTGGATTGTGGCATAACGTCGGTTTCCAATGTTTCATAGGTATTTCATACATGTCCTTATATAAAATAAAGTTTCTTATACGCAGCACACTGTATTTTATTTAAAAAATTAAAAGAAAATAGTAATAAATTTGAATAAACAATATTTGACGATATAATTGCGGAAAAAGCCGAACCGCTCCGAAATTATCAAAAGCTTTGGAGAGCGACCCTTGTAAAAATAGCGCCAAATAATATTTTCATTGTCCTTATGGGCACTTTCCAATCACAAAACATCCCCCTTTAGAACTTTTTCTTTAATGGCCATAAGCGGGAGTAAAAGCCCAACCGCCCGAACAAACACTAGAGGCGCCACCGGTCATCAAATGGTGTAAAAATTGCGAAAATTTAATCATCTAATTTTGACACAAGGGGTCGCGCTTAACTTTTTCAATTTTAATTCAATATTCACTGTTTTCAAACTATATTATTAGACTTTGTTGTATTTTGTCAATGTATAAATGTTTTCTTAGTATAAAATTGCATTATAGTAATTTGAATTATATGTTAAATATGTTTAAGATTCAAATATTATGACATATAAAATATGTCAGTTGCCGTCTAAAATGGCATCTTGATAACAAAAAGTTAGGTATTGTCAAAAGTAGTTAAAATCATGTTAAAATATTAAAATTTACAAGTTATAATTAGATATTTTATATTATTTCAACAACAAACACATAATAGTACACCGTAATGTTGATATGCAGGTCCAAAACGTGCCGTTTTATTTTTCAGTTTTCGTTGTCAGCTGCGGAAGTTTCAGTGATTTTAGTGTTGTCGGATATTTTTATTTGTGAAATAGAAATATTGCGTTTGGATTGCAAAACTAAAAGTGGAAGTTTTATTGCAATGTAAGTAAGCGTTTGTCCATTTTATATTTTACTTTTTTCATACCTACGACAAATATACATATATTGAAATTTTATAATTGGTTTTATTTGAAAAATTTAAGAAAACAAGCTTATAATCCTGTAATTGACATACTTGTTATGTAATATATTCCATCTAAATGTAATATATTACTTTACAATTAAAAAAATGTAAATTTAAAAAATATATTAATATATACTGGCATTAATTGAAATTTTTGAGTGCGAACAAACACGAGAGGCGCTTTATTATCTACTTTCATTCAGGGGCGGGAAAGTAAAATAGCAAAAGCGGTTCCACCGTTTCCACGGAAATTTAAAATAAAATAGTTCCAGCCTCAGGCGCTAGGTGGCAGTGCAATTAATTTTTAGGTTAAGAAGTTGCTACTAGTTATTGCCAGATGTCGTTAAATCAAAATCATTTTTGTAGTTTCCATAGTTTCCAGGCAGGCAGGCAGCAAAATAAAAACACTAATTCACCACAATACACCAAAACACTTTTACTTTTACACTGGACGCGCGTTTTGCTAATCATATTAGCATCATCAGCAGATGATTATAAACTGAGTTTATAATCATCTGCTGATGATGCTAACATGAGAAGGGAAGCTTGGGATACGACGCCGAAGGCGGAGTGTCCCATCCCTTCGAAGAAAACAAAATCACTTAAATATTTTAGCACACACACACTATTTTTTCTACAAACAAGTTTATGATTGTGTATATCAAGGTATTATTACTTTTTACGTTAATGAATAAAGCTTCATTTTCATGCATCCGTTGTCCGACGATACGTTGATACGATATAAATGTTATTGGTAGAATTTAAAGACTTTGATTGGTTAGAAAATAACGCAGTTTTTAAAATTATTGCATTTTCATGCCTCGTATATCGGATATACGTTGGTGTTATTTTATATTTTCGTTTCCATAACGATTTTGCTATTTTACTTATATTTTTATTAAAGCTAGATTAAATTTGTCAAAAAAGTGTCAAAACGTCCTTTATCGTATGAACGGATCCTTTGGCGGACTCAAGTAGAATATTTACGGATGAAAAGTGGCGCGAAATCGCTATGACCAATCAGAGCACCGTCGGACCATCGTATCAACGTATAACGGATGCATGAAAATCAAACTTAATTCATAATATGTTATCCTGAACGTTCTGAAATCAAATTAATTATAAAGTTTATGGTTGCTTCGGTAACTGAAAGATTCCAAACATTCGATCATTTGTTGTCAACTAATGTCAAATTTGTGCCTCAACTCTTGTAAAATGATGGAAAGTGATCAAGAAACTGTGTGTTTCCCAGCAGAAATTGAAGAAGCGGCTAATAGAATTACTTTTGATTTATTACCCAACAAGCCCAAGGTTCAGTACGAGTTTTCATATAATCGATTTTTGAGATGGTGTGACCAGGGGCGGGAAAGTAAAATAGCAAAAGCGGTTCCACCGTTTCCACGGAAATTTCAAATAAAATAGTTCCAGCCTCAGGCGCTAGGCAATTAATTTTTAGGTTAAGAACTTGCTACTAGTAATTGCCAGATGGCGTTAAATCAAAATTTTTTTTGTAGTTTCCATAGTTTCCAACGGCCATTGTCATACTATTGTCAAATTCTCAAAAAATATTGTCGTTGTCATAGTAATAGTCGCCAATCATAATATTATCAAATGATTATCAAAATGTGTTTCAAACTGTAATTTGTTATATGTGTTTTAATTAGATAATTCCCTTACAATTCCTTTTGTTTGTGGCCTTAAAAATATAATGTAAGTCTTTTATTTTTGCCATCATTTAAATACCTATTTATATTTACTCCATTTACAAACCTTTGGGCGTATTACGTTGGTCTTGTTTTATTATAATAAACGATGTTTAAATATTTGACTTATAAATAAAAACTTTAAATAATAAATAATATTTACACAAGTTTGGCTTTAATTTTATTTAATAATTGAATAAATTATACTGTTAAATTTTATTTTTTACACATCACAACGATACTTGTTATTAGTATTGTTGAATTTGTGTAAAAAATAAGATTTAATAATCAAATTTAATTATATTTTAGAGTAAAATTCAATAAATACGCCCATTTAAAAAGCCCGCGCTTCGATCCATTTAAAACAAGCCCTGCTCAATAGATGGCGCCACTTCTGTAGGACCATTTTTCAGTATGGCAGAGTCCATTCTTTTTCTAGTTTCTAGCTAGGTATATTCCCATAGTATATTCTTTGCTTTCATTTCTTAACATGATAGACGAAGTTCTAAAGGGGGATGTTTTGTGTTTCCAATCTAAACTTGTTTATTTTATATATGATGACAAGTTACAAAATAGGGATTAAAGTATCTTTAAAAAATAAAATATTTTTCTTTGCTAAGTAAACAAACTGCTTTAAATAAACACTAAACAATTTACAAAATTAAGTACTTGTTAATTATAAAATGGAGAAAATTTGCCCTATTTTCTTCACACCTCCGTCAAATAATTCTATTGACTATTTCTCCAAGTATTTTGATAGTTTCTGATGGCTTTCATGACAACAACATATTTTTAATTGTTCTATGTGTTCAATGTAGTATCAAATAAATGGCAAACAATCTAGGATACGTTTTGTAATAAACTGGACAATTTTAGTGACAAAAAGTAAGTTTATTTCATGAACTTTCATTTTATTATACATTAAGTTTGACAAATTGACTACTAATGATATCATTTTTGGTAAAATACATAAAATAATTCACCTGCGGTGGTTCTCACACTCACCAGCGAGTATTTTCATTGGCAAAAATTTGTTAAACTCTAAAGCAGATTCCATTGTTACCGACATAGAGAAGTTACATATTCTTCCACTACTATAATTAGAAGATAAATACATTTTATATTATCCAATAGACAAAAAAGAACTGGATGGTTCCTTTTTACACAGTATTTGATAATTTATTTTAACGTTAACAAGAAGAAGGTTACGTTAACATTAATTATTTTAGAATGTTATAATTAAGTACGTTATATTAAACTATTGATAAATTACCAAAAAAATATGCGGGTATAATATAAACTTAAAACTAAAACATTTTTATAAAAATAATCTAAAATTTTTTAACTGAATTTCTTTGTGGTAAGTATTGTAATATTGTTATAAATATAACAGAATACAGCAAGACAATAGAATAATTTGAGTTATAATAAAATGACGTTACAGAATAAAAATGAGGTAAATTATCGAAAGTTGGGTTGTTTTTTCAAGTCTTTAAAGAACTTAGTTGTCAGCAGCGACTTCATTTAATCCAGAGAGGTAAGCTGAAACCTGAAACAACAAAAAAGAGGTAAGAATTTGAAAATTATTTTTGTTATAAAAAAAGTGAAAAACTCAGATTGAAAAAAAAGTGACAAACTGAAAACTAAAAAACTGAAAAAATTGACAAATGACAGTTTTGTTCAAATGTCACTGAGCTCTATTGGGGTATGAACTAACTTAAATATTAAAACTACTGGGCTTATAATTATGGCAGAGTATACAGGGTGCTTCAAAAAAGCATACCGGATATAACATATACTTTTTTAAATGGAAAACTAGCACTAGCAGTGTGTATTATTTTTTATTTTATTATTAGATCCTGCGTAAAATTCTGTAACTTTTCTATATATTATGTTATATACCCAAACCAAAATTAATAGATTTTGTAGTAATTCAATTTGTTTAATTAAAGTTAGATTTCGGTATGGTAAAAAATTATCAGTGAGTGACGTTATTGTTTCTGAAGTTGGAATACTCAAATTTGGTAGGAGAGGTTTTATGTTATAGAGACGAAGAAAAAGATATATGTTAAGATATTTGTGTTAGATGTTATAGGGTGTCCAAAATATATTTATGAATTTCGACTGTTTAAAATTAAAATATCTCAATTATATCTAAATCTCTATCTATATATCTATATCTAATACCAATAATATCTCTTTTTAAATAGCACACTCTCGATTTTATAAGTTATTTTAATAGATTTTGCAAAATTCTTCAACTTTTATGAAGTAAATTATATATCTATTTTTAATAGTTCGCGACTTATTTTGATTTTTTAAAATTTTACACTTTTTTTCAATTCATTTATCTTAAAATATGATAGTTGCCATGACAAATCAAAAATATTTTATTAATCATTAATAAGTAGTTATATTACTATATAATTAGTAATCAGTTAGCAATGTTTTGTTATTATTAATTTATATTAATACTAGCGTGTACCAGCAACTTCGTTCGCATCGAATTAATCATCTGTAATGGTGATGATAAAGCAAAGCAAGAATTTCCATTAACATACAAACTAGATAAAATTTTCTCACATTTATGTCAGCATGAGAAAAAACGATATGGCGATATTATTATATAACTTGGTAATATTTGAGGGGTAGTTTCATCTCGTTGGAATTTGACTTGAAAAATCCGTTTGCCAAAAATAAGCTTTTTACGTCAAGCAGTTTAAGCAGAATCGTGGTTAAGAAATTACTCAACTTTTTGGAACACCCTGTATGGTTTTTTAAAAAATTTCAAAATATGTAAAAAAAACCGAATAAATTATGCTTGCCCAAGCGTTTTCCTGAAAGACTAACCGTTTTTTAAATAACAAATATTGTAATATTTGAGGGGTGTTTTTATCCTCTTGGAATTTGAGATTCGAGAAACCTCTCCTTATCGAACCTCTACACCCCACAGTCAATCCGTTTACCAAAAATCAGCTTTAAACTTCAAGCAGTTTAAGCAGAATCGTGATTACTCATTGGTCATATTTTATGAAACACCCTGTATAAATTTATAAAAAATCTTAAAATATGTAAAACAACAAAATAAAATATACGTGTTTAAGAGTTTTTTTTTCAAAGAAAAAACTCACCGGTTTAAATAAAAATATTTTTAATATTTGAGGGATAGTTTCACCCCCTAGAATTCGAGTTTCGAAAAATTCCTTCTTATCGAACCTCTACACCCTAAAGTCAATCTGTTTTCCAAAAATCAGCTTTTTACGTCAAGCGCTTTAAGCAGGATCGTGATTAATCAATGACCAGATTTTTCGAAACACCCTGTATACATTTTTAAAAAATCTTAAAATATATAATAAACCAAAATAAAATATACGTGTTTAAGCGTTTTTTCGGAAACTTGACTGTTTTTTAAATAAAAAATATTGTAATATTTGAGGGGTGGTTTCACCCTCTTGGAACTGGAATTTCGAAAAATCCCTTCTTATCGAACCTCTACACCCTAGAAGCAACCTGTATGCCAAAATTGAGCTTCTTACGTTGAGTGGTTTGAGCAGGATCGTGATTAATCAGTATGTCAGTCACTTAAGGATTTTATATATTAGTATAGATTAACTTTGCTCAATAGCCACAGATTCAGATATACCAGTTTACCTATAGCTGGACGGCTACTGATAGGGAATTTTTCTGCATAACATTCAGGTTTTATAGACCCAATATTACTACAGCCACAACTGTCCCATTACGCACTGAAAATGTTTACTAGATAATCTACATCTATTTTTTTGTACTCGGCTCATAAGCCTTACTGCTAGAAGTTATTTTGCTATTTTTTCCGTGTCTTGTTCGGCACATCAGTTATATTGACTTATAATTAATTTTTAGGAAAATCTGTAACTATTATCTCTATCACCTATACTTATTTAAAAAAATTAAGCTAAAATTAAATATTTGTTCTTAATTTATTAAACAGACATGTCAAAATTTGGTAATTATTACTTTTTGTCATGGCAAATATAATGTTATATAGCGTAATTGTATTAAAAATATCGGTAAAAAAATCGGAATAAATCGCTAACTATTAAAAATAGATAATATACAGGGTGTCCTAGAAATAAGTGCAAATATTTTAACTGGTAGTATAGTTCAACCCCAGAAACACGCCTATAAGGTTTTTTTCGCCAAATTTTTTTTTGAAAATTCGAAATTTTTTGGAAATTTTTTTTAGTTTTTAGTTAAAAAACATAATTTCTTGATAATATGGCAACATAGGTAGTAGATTAAATTTACAAGAAAGAAAACTCAGAAGAGATCCAGTGGTTCTCAAAATTTCAGCAAATTTTTTTTTTGGAAATTTTCAAAGTACAATAACTCCGTTATTTTGGATTTATTTGAAAAACGATAAAGAGAAAATATGTTTCTTTTATCGAGATCTACTACCCCCTAAAATACTTGCACTTATTTCTGGGAAACCCTGTATAGGGTCTACCATTAAAAAAAATTTGAGATCCCTGTAGCAGTAACTCAAAATTTTTTACATGTATCTTTTTCTTCATGTCTATAAAAAAATTATCCTATCAAATTTTAGTACTTCAATTTCAGTACATCACTGACAAATTTTTAAGTTGGAATTTTTTAAATTCTGAAGTCTAACATATGTTTAAACAAATTAAAATATTACAAAAGCTATTAATTCTAGGTATATAACATAATATACAAAAAGTTATAAAATTTTACGCAGGATCCAAAAATAAAATAAATAATAGGGCATAACATTTAAAAAAAAAACATGTTATCCTCCGCACTTTTTGAAGCATCCTATATATTCCGTAATAATTTTAAAATAATATTACCTATTAACATTTTTTAATAATTCTCAAAATAAATGAAATAATGAACTTTACTCTATCTTTGAATCACCTTGTAAAATGTACAAAAAAATCAGATTTTAAATTATTTGACCTGTAAACATTTAAATTTGTGTTTGAGCCTTTGATAATCTTGTTATTTTAAAGTAATTATCACCTGAAGTTTCGATTGACAAATATAGTCAAATTTAAAAGGGAAATTTCGAAAGGGTAAAGGCGCTAATAGGGCAGAAGGTTAGATAGAATTGGTAATAAGCTTTTCTTAAAATCGAGTATTAGGTCTTAAGGTCGGGCATTTTATGAACAAAATGCCCTTTTACGGTAAATAAGAGAATAATGTTTTTTTTTTCCAAGAAATTGTAGGACCTGTGAGAATAAGCATTTTAATTCGATTTTGTTTATAATTGAGTAAAAACGTCAAATTTAAATTTATTTTACATAAATAATCATATTTAATATTTAGGTCAAATTTTGAGGAGGACTTGAAATCAGTGCGACCAATTTTAAGACGTAATGTTTTTGACATTAATCTTTTTCAAAATTTGAAAATATAACTTTAGATTTGTTTCTAACTATACCGGTGTTTCTCAAAAGTGAATTACCCCTATAACTTTTTTGTTTTTTCAGATAAATAAACGAGTAATTTGGTAGATTAGTTTATGCACATAAATCGAGATTAATTGACTTTGATCACTTCCTGTTTCACCGGAAATGACTACAACTTTTGATTTTGATATTTTTTACCTTACTCCATAGAAAATGACACTCTAAATAAAATGACAATCTAGTAGATAGATGCATGTCAACTTTTGACATACTCGCTTAACAAAATTGGTATTTTTTTAATTTCAATCTAGAGAGGATTGTTAATCAAGGAGCCTTGGAAAAATAGATTTGATCGTCTAATGTTTTTCGTGTCTTGTCCTGGCCGGTTAAAAGATGTCCATATCGTATTTTTAATCATAACTCGATTTTTTTCAAATGGAACAGTGGTGGCTCATGGGCATATTTGGAAAAAGTATTTTTTACATATTTAAGTACCACACACTTGGTATTTCGATTCAAATTGTCGATACATTTGCACAAAATTGAAAATGTCAAAAGTTGATATATGATGTCAATCTGTTCAAGATGTTATTTTTTATCAAATAAAGTAAAAAAATACCGATGGTGTCATTTTAAAATCAAAAGTTGACAGATTGACGTCAGTCAATCCTCATTTTTGTCATATTTTGACATACCAGTTATAACATACCATATCTGGTTTTTTATCTGAAATAATAAGAAAGTTATAGAGGTAAGCCACTTTTTAGGGAGACCCGGTATATAAATTGTTTTACTATAACAGTTTATAAAAAACTCAAAATTTAAGTGAGTTTTTTACATAAAAGCAAATATAAATCTATTAAGGTTAAGCAGTTTACACATAATCTGTCCTAACACCGTGGGTGTTCGATTTTCTCATTTTCTCTTCTGTTTTTCTTTTTTTTTCTAGTTAATTCGTTGTTTAATGATTTTTTGGCTTGTAAATTTAACTGATTGAGTAATTGACATGTCTTGCTATGTGACTTAAATCAGATATACAGTCGAATTTTTAAAGAAAGCACTACCGTGTAATCCTACCGACTGTGCCACTTAAATCGTTCGACGGCAGAAGTTCGTTTTTAAAAATTTATTTATTTTCAAAAACTTTGAAGCTAGTGTACAGTACGACAACAGAACAAGGAATGCACTAATAATACAATGTGATTTAAAAAGTAAACTACGTTTCCCACGATCTTGCTGAGTTGCAATGTCTATTCCTGGGACCAGAGTGATGATGCGCCGGTTCTCATGGGAATGGTCACATAACTTGTAGTACACGCTGTTTCCTTTCACTCAAGAGTAAGAAAAAATCTTGTATAATTGTCATTATTTATATTTTTTTATTCCATAATGTTATAAAGTAAAATAAGGAATTTTTTTTTAAAAAAATTCTTTAAACAATTGTTGTGCTCTCCGTCTATAATAGCCTTGTGGTGTTGGTTGCATATCAGCATACCTTTCCGTTGTTATAAAATACTTTTTAAGTATTTCTACAAGTTTTTAAAGTTGATTTTTAGCTTTAATAGTGTAAAATAAATTCAATGAATATATTTTGATAGTTCGTGACCGTGGATGGTTGTTGGTTTGCGAAAAAAAGCATTAGAAGAAGTAAATGTCATTATATTGGAAAAAATCTTTTGATAAGGAGAGTTCTGGAATTTTCAGTTCATTGGTATTTTATTAAACAGTCACTGTTTGATCGAGCTCGAAACAACAATGTAGAAATTAGTTTAGTAAATTTAAAAAAATCTTTTTTGTATTGTGTTTAAAAGAAAAGTAATGTCGTTGGATATGTATTTTAATATTTTATAAAGGAAATGTCCTTGTATTCCAATGTCATACGATGCTAGTTTTTAAGGCCTTTTTGTGCAGAGGATGTTTTTTTTTGCTAATTGACTCAGTCGTAAGTTGTTTTTTCTGTTATACAATTTTAAAATGTTAATGCCTTTTATTTATACATTTTAGAAACTGTCCTGATGATTGGAATAAAATTTTCGAAAGCTTGACAAATTTGAAAAAGTAGTTTTATTAGCCTATGTGGTGATTATTGACTGCATTCTCACTTAAATTTCGAGTTTTTTTCTTAGCTTAGTCAATCACGACTAACCTGCTATAACAGTTTATATATATTTTTTTATTTTTATAGTTTTTTGTTTATATTTTTTATTATTATTTTTTTCTTATTGTTTTATCTTTTTTTTAATTTTTTTATATGAATATGTCTAACCGTGCTATTTTCTGTATACTCCTTCATATTAATCTTGTTATCACTGGTCATAGGCGGTCACGTAGTATAATTTTTCAATAATCTGGCGATGACCGCGATTCGGTTAGCCGCAACCAATTACGTCGATCCTAACTAATTCCGTTGAATGGTTATACTACATAAAAATAATAGTTACCAAATTGATATAAAGCCAAGTCATCTTTAATTTTGCTTTTTGACAGTAGTAAAAAGTATACTGACCGGATATCCACTGTCCATTCTCTTTCCAAATCTGAGGCGTAGTTGCGGTGATCTTCCGGCTTTCCTTGACACTGTATGATAGCCCAATCGGTTGTCCTCCAAACTGTTTTCCCTTTCTCTTTGCATCAGCATTTCAACCAACTCTCTGATACTACCTGAAAAATAACGTTAGGATTAGACTATACTCTGTTTTTTTTTTCTCAGGTAAGATTTCGACAGAAGATGACAGAAAAAAAGCAGATGACGTCCATACCAATCCATTTATTTAACTAAAAAAAGTTTCTAATATTTTTTAAGTTAACTATGGATGGGTTTATATATTTATAAATCCGTCATGCGTCATCTCGTTGTTTTTAACCAGTTTTATTGGTTTATTTCAAAAATGACAGATCATATTTCAATATCTTTGGTTTGGCGGAACGATGAACGACAAACGGACTCGACTTAATATTTTTGAGAGTTGTCAAAGTCTTGCCAAATTATAGGTTATAGTTTTGTGTCAAATTATATCAAATAGAAGTGATAAATGTTTTGCATTTTGCATTTTGGACTGTGTTATTACGCGTGTTTCGTGTTTTTTAAAATTAAGTGGAGGAAAGGTTTTAAACGGAACACCCTCTATATTATTCTATATTTAGATTCTACGATTGAAATAAAGGTAAATTTGATTAAGGCTTATCACATTTACACCTTACCGTTTTTTGGAATATTTTCAATTTTATGAAATTGCAGTAAAAATTTTAAGGCTTCATTTCTCCAAGGGTATTAAAGTTTTTAATAGTAAATATTTACTAAAGTTTATTTATTGATCAGATATTGTGTTGCAATAATAAATAAATTACTATCTTGTACAGAGTATCAAGAAATTTATATTAGTACAGAGTATCTAGAAATTTATACTAGTTGAAGCCTGGCGCATCCGCCACGACATCTGAAAAAAAAACTTTTTATTTTTTGTTTAATTAAATGAAAAACAAACAATCCGGCGACGACAGTTTTTAGAAGAGCCAATTAGCTATCTTTTAGTAAAAAATGCAACTTTCTAGAGCAAGTCGTTACTTCAGTAGAGACGACACAGGTAAACATTAGCATTTTATATATGTAGATAATTACTAGCTTTAAACGGCAATAACTTGTTTAATTTAAATGGAACACTCTGTATATTTTACGAGAATCAGATGCACAATTTAATTATCTATTAATTTGCATTATACTATTTTTACCTATCTCTTCAATTTTTTGTAGAAAATGAATTTTCTTATAAATTAGACTTCATTTATCAGTATATCTTTGGAATATTGACATTTTAGATTATTTTTAAAGATGGAACAAATTTTCAAAGAGTACAGATACTAATATTGTCGATATAGTTCGCCTATTTCATTAAAAAATAATAAAAACTGTTTAAAGATAGTAATTATTTAATATAAATTTTTAGACACTCTGTATAAGGTAGTATTTTGTTTATTATTGCGACACAATATCTGATCAATAATTAATCTTCCGTAAATATTTAGTATTAAAACATTTAATACCCTTGAAGAAATGAAGCCTTATATTTTTTACTGCAGTTTCACAAAATTGAGAATATTTCAAAAACGGTAAGGTTTAAGTGTGATAAACCTTAATAAAAATTTACCTTTATTTCAATCGTAGAATCTAAATATAGAATAATATACAGGGTGTTCCGTTTAAAAAAATACAACTATAATAGTTTTTACTTATTTGAGACACTTTGTATCTTGTAGAATTATCTTTAAATTTTAGCTCTAATAGTCGTTCAAAGAACCCAAAACTTACAATTTGTAAAAATCTAATCGTTTAGCCACATATTCGAGGAAAAATTAAGTGTTGACCCAAACCATAGTTTACAGTTAATATTCGGTGCTCAGAGACCGCCAGAGACAGTTTGCCAGTGTAAGGCCAGAGAGTTGTATTAGCCATAAATAAAGTTTGTATATTGTCTCTGTTTGTATATGTCTCGTAGAATAGCAGCACACGATAGGTAAATAATAAATTTTAGACTGCAGAGAGATAATGTCAAAAGATACTGGTTTACAAAAATTTATATTAAAGTTAATTAACCAACTTTTAAGGTATAAAATTCAGTAGGTGTTATTATTAATAAAATATTGTGTTTTATTTATTCCTTTGAATATTTTTTTTAATTTTACATAAGTTATATTGATAAATGCAACAATAAATGCAGGAAGTTGCTTGAGTTTGAAACACGGCTTGAAAGCAGGAAATCTTTTTTATATATTTTTTTGGTATGTGGTGTTTTTTTTAAATACACCCTTGTTTCTTTTATATTAACAGATACTGTAATTGTTTTTAATGAAATAACTCGATTAGATTTTTTCAATTTTATACAGTTTTTTTCACAATATTTTGAAGTAATCACTGGCCAATCAAATTTTAAATATATTAATTTTCTGCTTTATTTTCTGCTATGCGTTCCAATTGTACCAACTTATTTCTTTGTAAAATAAAATAAACTACTTTGAAAATGACAGACACATCTATCACTGTCAAGTGTGTATTTATGATTGGCATTTTTAATATTTATTTTTTTAAACGAACCATATTGTAAGCAATGAATCAATTCTCACTATTATTTGAGCCAACGAGCCGTAGAAATCATTAAAATATCTAAATGTAACTACTACGTGAGCATTAACTTCATTTTTTTTTTGATACCAATATGCACAAAACCAAGTGTTTAAGCCCAATAAAGAACCTATTAACCTTTAAACCATTAAAAATGAAAGTATGGTGCATGTGAAATATACTTATATAGATATTGCGTGACAAAGGGGTGTATTTTATAGAGAGGTGACTCCCTTTTTTCTCTATTCGGAACGTTAGATTATCTAAGTGAAAGTAATAATTATGGTGGAGGTAATATTGATTAAAAAAATATGGATGATGTTGGGCTATTTATTTTTTTTTGAAATGGGTAGGTGAAGTTAATGTAACTTTAGAAAATAGATAATTTTGATGAGAATAAATAAAAAATAAAAAATGTCACGTAATATCGTTGTCATTATGGGTATTTTTAAAAAGTATTTTAAAAATAAAATATTATTTTATTTAGCCATATATTTCTTTCCTGGATATTGAGCTCTAGTATTTTATTATAAATAGCCATCTAGGTCAATCTGTCATATAAAATATGACATATTAATCGTACAATGTCTATTATACGATGTATAAAAACCTATATTAAGGACACAAAGGCATTCTTATGTTGAATTAGTTACAGCTGATCTTAAAGGGCACAGAAGCACGTGTCCACCTATCCTCTCAAAGAAAACCAAAGAAGTAAGTATACAATTCGGTGCATTATATTGCACTCAAGAAGGTAATTTCTAGCTTTAAAACATAAAAATAATAGATATTTTTTGTGGAGAGCGTATCCACATTCTGTCTGTAAATATAAGATAATTTTTATTGATAATTTAATAAGCATCCTTTTGGTATTATGTAACCATTGCTTTTTATATGTCGGAAAGACATTAAAAATCCAGAGTACGTTGCTTGACATTTGCAACTGGAGAGAAATTTCTATCAAAAAGTCTTTGCGTATGATACTTTAAACTAGTTAGTTGTAAGGGATTTTTCAAAAGAAATCTCTGCCTGAAAAATTTAAGTGGTGATTTATTTTTAAAAATATAAGGTACTTATACAGGGTAAGTCTGAAGTCTGAGAATAGATTCAGAGAAAATGTATTTCATTTATCGAAAGCTAACAGGCCTAAAAATATTTCCATATTATTGGTATATATGAAACTTTTTTAATTCTCCATTTTTCTCATGAAACTTACTGATTTAAAATTAAAAACAAAATATGTTAAAATAAAATGTATATAAACTCGGCAGCTTACAGTAATTTACAGTATTTTTCATACTATTATATTTGAATATTTTCATAAAAATCATAATTTTGAGGTATATGATTCATCTTTTCTAATTCTTTAAATCTTTGTTTCTACCAGTGATGATCATCCAACGTTAATTTATTATACCGGCTGCGTCTCAAAAGTGGCTCACCCCTATAACTTTTTTATTTTTTCAGTTAAAGTATATGATAGAAATTAGGATTGATTGACGTATTTAATTGTTTCTGGTCACTTCCTGTTCACCGGAAATGACTACAACTTTTGATTTTTAAATGGCACCCTCTGTTATTTTTTACTTTATTTAAACTATTGCCATTTTCGCATATGGTTTATTTGCAATTACAACTTGCAGTTCGTAACGAAAATTTCACTCAAAATACCAAGTGTGTGGTATCAAATTATTCGTAAAAAAAATATTTTTCCAAATATGCTAATGAGCCACCCTCATTCCATTTGGAAAAATTGAGAAATGATTAAAAATGCGATTTGAGCATCTTCTAACTGGCCAGGACAAGACACTAAAAACATTAGACGATCAAATCTATTTTTCCAAGGCTCCTTGATCAAGAATTAGTGTTTTAACATGATCATGGCACTCTAGATTGAATTTTAAAATACAATTTTTTATTAAGCCAGAATGTCAAAAGTTGACATATGATAGTCATTCTATTCAGAATGTCATTTTCTATCGAATAAAGTAAAAAAATACCGAGGGTGCCATTTAAAAATCAAAAGTTGTAATCATTTCCGGTGAAACAGGAAGTGACCAAAAACAATTGAATATGTCAATCAATCCTAATTTATGTCATATACTAACATACCAAATCTCGTTTTTTTATCTGAAAAAATAAAAAAGTTATAGAGGGTGAGTTTACTTTTGAGACGCACCCGGTATCGAATTAATTGATTAATTCATTTATATATTATGAAAATTAACTATATTTAAAAAAAATTAAAAATAGACAAAAAATCTATTGTAAAAATAAAATTTTTTCATAAGTAATATTTTATTCAGACCTGTATCTGTGCAACGTTACAACTTCTACATGAGAAAACTTGAAATATAGTAAGATAAATCTGAAATGTAAAACTAATTTAACAACTTTATTCGTCCATGTAAGGTATTCCCAAATTTATAAAATTTGATTTTAAAATTTTGTCTATTTTTGTACTACTTCTGAACTACAAGAAACTGAAAATGTATTTAGTTTTTAAACTAAAACTTGTCCTCAAATGTTCTATTTTAGTGATCGA